GAGTAACGTCAGCCATTTTATGTTGTCCTTTGCATTCACAGGTGGAAAAGAAGTTCCACAAATCTCAACATTGGGGCTTTTGCAACAATGTGAGAATGCTGGTGAGTGAAGATAAACCTGGAATAGGTGGAGAATTGCTTCCTGGGAAAAAGGTGAAGCCTAAATACAGTGACTTTCCTAAAGGAATGGTAAGGACCGTGCCATCCTGGATCGCTTTTGATAAGCAGGTGAGTCACCTGACATTGGGAACCATGCAACCTTAAACGGTTACACATACAAAATAATAGGTATTGAGAAAATGAGAGTCCTTAATGTAAATGTTAAGGCTAGTTACCCTTGGGGCGCCTGGGGGGGCCCGGTCGTTAAGCGTCCGGCTCTTGGCTTCTGCTCAGGTCACGATCTCTCGGTCTGTGAGTTCGAGTCTCCCTCCTTCCATCTCTTTCCCTCTCTCAAAATAAGTAAACTTTAAAATAAAGGATAAAAGTACCCTAAACAAACAAAAGTTATCCCTGCTTCTCTTTCTGACCAGGCACACTGGTTGCCGGTGAACAGTGTTCACCTTCCTTGCCTAATGCTTATCAGCTTTCCTGTCCTCTCCTCTCTGTCCCTCTGTGGCCACTTAGAGTCTGGTCAGAGTGTCACTTTGGCTCAGTGAGTTGCCAGTCACTAAGTCATTTTGTTTGATTTGAAATGTGCCATCAAATAGCCACAGAAAGATGTCTTCTCTTTTCTGCATATTAATTATGGTTCCCCCTCCCTGAGAACCAAAGGGGGACATGGCAAGAATTCTAGAAGTGAAGGAAAAAGGTGCCCTTATTAGATAAGAATCTGAACTTTTTAATGTGTATGTTTGTACACATAAGACACACACATACATAATGGCGTATTGATCACTGATCGAGGCAGTCCATTTGAATATCTTAAAAGGGGCGAGGATCAGGGGGCGGGGGGGGGGGGGGGGGGACACAAGGTGACCAGTTATTTCCCATAAGGCAGCAGAATGGATATGTTGTGTTTATCACACAACCCTGTGTCATGGCCTCCTGTTCTGTTCTCCAAAGAGGGACCCGTTATTAGATTATTTAGGGTCCTGTAATTAAAAAATAATTCAGGACTAGATAAAGAAGTCAGACCTTAATATGCTTAGTTTACCGGGTGGTTTTTTAGCAGCCTTAGCATAAATGAAGACATTTGATTCCAATTAAAATGTCTTCAAATTTGGTAAAAAGTGACATATTCTGTGTCATCTGTGTTCGAGTTGATCAATTAGAGCACATTTTTTTTTTTTTGAAGCCCAGTTCTGACACTTAACGGAGATCTAACAGACTGCAGGGGAGGCTTCTTTCCGGGGAAACCATCTCTGCTTTGAACATGAACCATTATTTCTCTCTTTCTCTCTCTCTCTTTAAATGTTTTAAAAAATTATTTTCCGTCCCTGGCCCAGTGCAGGACGCAGAGTTCAGAAGCGATTTCTGGGCTAGCTTCCCAGGACGGATCATGCATGGTTCCCTGTTATTATCGATCTCCTAGGTGTTTGCACATCATCATTCTGGAATATTTCATTTGCGAGGGACAAAGACAAATTTCTCTTTTTTACTTCTTGTGTCAAAAAGAGGGTATTGACAGTAGTTTAATCCACTACTGAATAAGTAATGCTGTAGGTGGCAATATATTAAACTGTTCTCTTGCACTGAAAGTAGAAAATTCATTTTATTTCATGTTTTTCTCAATATTTAATATGTGCCTTTCGAACCTATTTTGCAGCCCTTTAGTTACTTATAAAATTATGTAGAATATTTCATGAAGTTGGAATAATTTTAGCTTCAAACTACTTGAGAAAATGAAGAGCTTGCTCATTTTAGCCTAACTAAATGCAACATAATTCTTTCAGTTATTTTGTTGGTCAACTTCAATTAAATATTCATTGAGCTTTAAATGAGACACGAAGACTATGAAATATTTACGTGCTCTGATGAGATTGTGAACTACAGACTGGCTCCTGGTTAATACCCAGAGCAAATTATAAAGCGCTTTCCACATTCGTGGCTCAACAAAACAAGTCAACACCTGTTAATCATTTTTCTTAAAAAATGAGACATTTTTCGCTCGTCGCCAGTTTTTCGGCTAGCTTTTAATCATTGCAGTTTATCTAGGGTTACATTCTCAAACCGCAGAAAGTAGAAATCAAGGCAGTTCTTTGGAAAGTGTACTGAAATCTGATGTTTTGTTAAGTGTATTTCTTTCAAGGGAGACAGAGACGGTGCGAGCTGGGGAGGGGTAGAGAGAAAGGGGGAGAGAGAGAATCCGCAAGCGGGCTCCACGCCATCAGCACAGAGCCCGATGGGGGCTCAGACTCACGAACAGTGACATCGTGACCTGAGCCGAAGTCAAGAGTCAGACGCCTCACCGACTGAGCCGCCCAGGCGTCCCTCGATATCTAATATTTGTTATAGCTGCCCCTGGCACCCACCCGCCCAGATCCATGTGTTGCGTGTTGCTCCTGGCCGAGGAGCATTGGCATCAGTACCCGGAGAAACCTGGACAGTTGCACTTGCCCCTTCACCACAAGAGGAGGCAACAGATGACTGATGATTGGTCAAGGGCAAAAAGATGAGCTGCTTCGGGGCGCCAAGGGGGATCAGTTGGTCGAGCATCCGACTTGGGCTCAGGTCATGATCTCAACAGCTGTGTGCGTTCGAGCCCCACGTCGGGCTCTCTGCCGTCGGTGCAGAGCCCGCTTCAGATCCTCTGTCCTCCCCCTCTCTGCCCCGCCCCGCTGCGCGCTCCCAAAAAACAAACAGATGCTCGAAAACAAGACCAAAGCCAGCCTCTTCGAGGCCGGACAAGTCCGTAGTGTGGATTTAGGCCCCTGCCCCTTTGTGCGTCAGGCCAAGGCTAAACTTTACGTGAGATTGCACTCTTGCTTGGCTCCTTTCCCTTCCCTTGGGTACTCCTCTCACTCTTCAGATGTGTCTCCTAAGAGTGTGCCCATAATAAATCACATGGGCCTAACTCCCTGTTTCAGGCCCTGCCTCTGCAGAGCCCAGCCTAAAGACCACATTCTGGGTTGTATCTGTGCTGCGGGCTCCGAGCTGTCCGCACAGAGCATGACGCGGGCCTCAAACTCGGGAACGGGGAGATCATGACCAGAGCTGAAGTCGGACGGTTAACCGGCTAACCGACTGAGCCACCCAGGCGCCCCACTCTCCCCTTCATTCTTACGGAGGGAGAGTGTTCAGCTGCCCCAGGCTTCTTGAAGCCAGGGCTGGCCGGGCGACTCGCTTCTGGCCAGCGATGGATGGGATGAAGATTTATTGGGGAGGGCTCCTGGGAAAGTTATTTTTCTAATTAAAAGAGGCCCAGTGGATCTGTTTTTCCTGCTCTGTGTCCTACCTTTGTTTTCCTGTGTGGAACTAGGACATAATTCTTCAGCCATCTTGTGAGCACAGCAGGTATTAAAGGAGCCGAGCGCCCTGCTGGCACCATGGAGGCGCGGTTTCAGGCCCGGGCTGCCTCTTTCTGGACTTCTTTTGTCAGATGTTCTCAACCCAGGGAGGCCTCTGCAAACGTGTGGAGATGTTTTGGGTTGTTGAGGCAAGGGGGGCCCTTGCCCCGGGTGCAGAATTCAAAGAGCACCCCAGACCTCAGGAATCAAGAGAGATAATATTTTAACGGACCGTCTTGAGGAAGCACACATTTCTTTCTTTTTTTTTTTAAATTTTTTTTTTCAACATTTATTTATTTTTGGGACAGAGAGAGACAGAGCATGCACGGGGGAGGGGCAGAGAGAGAGGGAGACACAGAATCAGAAACAGGGTCCAGGCTCTGAGCCATCAGCCCAGAGCCCGACGCGGGGCTCGAACTCCCGGACCGCGAGATCGTGACCTGGCTGAAGTCGGACGCTTAACCGACTGCGCCACCCAGGCGCCCTGGCCTTTGGATGTTTTAAATCGCCTTGCCCTTGGGCAGTCCATGGTCCAGAGGTGCTGCTGCTCTTAAGTAGCTGGGGGCCAGCTGTGTATTTTACATCCTGCAGTATGGGGAGGGCAGCTCCAGACTGGGGACGAGAATGGTCTTCCTAACACGCCAGTCCTGCTGCCACTGAGAAACACAGTCCTACTTGCCAGAAACCCCTGGCGTTCGTTGGCGGGATTTATGCAAATGGCCAAAACGGTTTTGTGTGATACCGCGCCCGTGCCTCCCCGCCCCCACCCCCCCCCAAAGACTAGCTATTTCAACTGAATTCGTTTAAATTCAAGCAAGCACATATTCACCCACGCCATTTAGTGCCAGTCGTTATCCCAGCACCTCCGCGAGGAAGAAGCAAACGTGGATGATTGCTCCCTATAGATGAGGAGTCATTTGTAAGAAGCAGGCAGGGACCAGGGTTCTGAGGCTGTGTGTTGGAGGCACTGGAACTAACTGCCTGTGTGACCGTGGCTTCGTCACTTCGCCTCCGAGTCTCCCGTTACCTTGACTGTAATGAGAGCCTGGGCTGGCTGATTACTTTTTTATTTTTTTAAAAAGTTTATTTATTTTGAGACAGAGCAAGCAGGGAAGGGGCAGAGAGAGAGAGACAGAGAGACTCCCAAGCAGGCTCTACACAATCAGCACAGAGCCCGATGCAGGGCTGCAGCTCACAAACTGTGAGATCATGACCTGAGCTGAAATCAAGAGTCGGACCCTCAACCAACTGAGCCACCCAGGTGCCCCTGACTGACTCATTTCTAAAGCCCTTTAACCTCCGGCGGTCCATGCTCAAGACTTTTTAGGCTTAGTGTGTGACATGTCGTCTGTGACTCAAGGCAGATTCTGCTTGTTCATCCTAGAACTGAGCCCACATCCTGGATCTCCTGGCCTGGGGTTCTTTCTTTTTTTTTTTTTTTTAATTTTTTTTCCAACGTTTTTATTTATTTTTGGGACAGAGAGAGACAGAGCATGAACGGGGGAGGGGCAGAGAGACAGGGAGACACAGAATCGGAAACAGGCTCCAGGCTCTGAGCCATCAGCCCAGAGCCTGACGCGGGGCTCGAACTCCCGGACCGCGAGATCGTGACCTGGCCGAAGTCGGACGCTTAACCGACTGCGCCACTCAGGCGCCCCTGGCCTGGGGTTCTTTCTAATGGCACCAGGTGCCTACGTTACTAATTGAAGTTTAGCATTTAGTAGTTGACAACGTGTTGCCGTTGTTCTTGTATATGATCTACCATTACTTGCTTTTATGAAA